ACACCCCAAAACTACACCAAAATTCAGTAAACTTACTGAACTCCCAAGAAAAGGATTTTTCTATGCATATTTTATCTTACATTCTACATTACATTTGTTAAAAATGGGTTTAATTTTTCTTGTATTACCATTAACTCCCACTTTGCTTAATATATTGTGGTCAAAAAGTATTTCTTGAATGATTTTTTTAAAAAAAAAATCAAAAGAACAAAAATATAAATTAGAACCTGAAGCCTTTTTCTCTGTGCACTCTGACATTTCTCCACTGGGAGGCAGCAGATGACCTTAGCAATAACTTCCCCCATTCACCAGACCCTCCCCTCCAAAAAACATCTCACTTCATATTATTATTATTATTATTATGTACTAGAGATTGAACCCATGGCCTTGTGCATGGGAGGAAAGCACTCTTATCAACCGAGCTATATCCCCAGCCTAAAAAATGGCCCACTTTAATGATACCACTAAGGAGATGGTGGCTCCAGGCATTTCTTATTTACAAAGACAAGGAAGAGATGATACTTCTGACATTTAGTTACCTCTTGTTTCAGCTTCAAAACTTCAAAGTAAACAATAATGTATTGTAGGTTTTTCTTAAAAAGAAATAAGAGCTGGGAGAAAGAATTTTTGATGTTTTCATCCAAGGAAATGATAAATGTTTGAAAAGGTAGATATGATTACCCTGATTTGAACATTACACAATGTGAACATGTATCAAAACATCATGTGATACTCAAATATGTACAATTTTATGTGTCACTAAATAACTAAATAAATGGTGAAAAATGGCAGTGAAAATATCTGAAAGAGAGCTCTCAATAAGAATAGATGCTATGGTGTCTGCTGATATTTAATTGAAGGTATTGTTACTGTCTCCAACAGTCATAGCAATAAGACAGGCCTTGTAGTCTATGTAATCCATGGATGGGTCAGTAAGAAAATTTGCAACATGTTTTTGAGAAAATAAATTTCATCAAAGAATAAATAAGTTCCACACTCTTTTCAAAAACCACAAAACACAGTAGTTGTGAATGTGTGAGGAGAGAAGAGAGTTAGTGTCTGAAGGGCATTGAGCTAAAGCTCATCCAAGAGGTGAGGCGAGGGTCAAAGATAGCTGATGGAACCTCTGTTGTAGCCCTGGATGGATGCACAGGTTCAAAGCCATATTGCTCTCAGCAATAATGAGAGGTTAGTATGAGACATTTCCAAAGTCAGCCAGCTACAATGTAAGAGCTAAAGATTGTTATTTTGTACATTCGCTCTTTCTCCGTGAAAGCTAATTTTTAACTGTTCTCATAGTAGCACATACAATTGCCAGCATTCACTGAATTCTGTATCAAATTTATATATTTTGATATAAATTTTATGGGACAACTGAAATTCATCCACTCAACTTGCAACGTTGTGACAGGTATCTAATACATATATGATGATATACATTTATTATATATATACCATTAATAATTAAAATTATAATTTATTTCTGGAGTACCTCATGCTTTATCTTTAAAGATTTGAAAGGGCTTGAGTGAAGCTATTTATTGGTAGGAAATATATCCACATTTTCCTAAGTCAGTGTTCTGAACTTATTACTAAATCCCCCAATTTTAAAATATAGGAACTCTTTCATTTCTAAAACTTTGCCACACCCATATTGTAGTTGAATGTTATTTGCCCATATAGCAAGTATTTTTAATATTTTAACTCTTTTCTCAAGGACTGAATACCTTAGTTTTTTTTTTTTTTTAATTCAGCTCATTCTTCTTTTTTTTCTCTTTCTCTAATCCATCTCATTCAGATATCAGAACTATCAGATCTGGGTTGTCAAAAATACCATAAATAGGGTTTAGGGTGTAGCTCAGTGGGAGAGCACTTGGCTAATGTGTAAAGCTCTCATTTTGATCCCCAGTACTTCAAGCAAACACACACACACACACACACACACACACACACATATACACACGGTTTTTAAAAAGTAAGATTTTTCTTACAATTTTTCATGAAGTTATAGTCTTGATGAGGACATGGACAGCCTCGCAAGGTATGGAAAACAGTTGACTAAACATGATAAGGTTTCCAGGTTTCCATCAAACTATCTGAAACCTTATCCCTCAGAGCCTCATCTCCTCCACAACATTCACATCCGGTTTCATATTCTATTGCTTGAAGCATTGCTCTCAAAAGTGGCAAACTGCATCAATTAGAATTTGTGTCAGTTACACCTAATGCTTCTTATAATTATTTATTTAAAAAACAAGCACTAGTCTAAATAAAATAGGAATTTATTTTTCTCTTACATAAAAGAAGCCTGGAGGGAGGCAATTCAGGGAACTGGGCTTTGGTCATTCTGATCTATATGATCCACAGGTCATCTCAAGGACCAAGAAGCTGCTGAGCTCCTACCATCATATCCATATTCCACTAACCAAGGAGGGGAAAACCAGGTTTCTGTTGGTTAAATTCACTTTGTTTTGTTTTTGAGGAAGCTTTCTCAAAATTTCCACCTAATAGTTTCATTTGCATTTCATTAGTTCAAGCCATGTTAACTACAATAAGAAAAAGAGACTAAGAATTCGCCTTTAATTTAAACAGAAATATTCTCACAAACTTAGGGTTCCGTAACCAAAGTAGGAGAGAACAACATTGGAAAGAAAATGGGAGTCCACACCACAATGCTTATTACAATTTTCTTTATGATAATAGAATACTTGAAACAACTTAAAAGGTCCAGTGACTAAATGGTTAACAAAGTGTAGAATATTCATATGGTAAGTGCTGTCTTGATGTTTAAAATATTGATGCACACTGCTCTTTGTTGACATGGAAAGTTATCCATGATACAGTTTCAAATGGGAAGATAAAATAACACCAGCAGCTCTGCTACAATTTCCATATGCAAGATCTATCATTGAAAAGATTTTTTTTTAATGTTGATAGTGGTTAGGTAACCACTGAGGTTTGTCATTTTTGTATAATTTTCTTCCTTTGTCATTTTCTATGTGCTTTAAATTTTTTACAAGTATACATTGTTTATGTTTCTACTGTGGAAATAAAAAGGTACTGAATGAAATCATCTTCAATAATTCATAAAAAGCAATCTGTAAAACTTTCTATTTGCATGCCAATTTTTTACCATTAGAGTTTTAAAGCTGCCCTTATGACACTAATTTCATAGCAATGATACTATGAAGTATATGATTATTCATCTTCAAGTAAGTCTGAATAAAGCAATAGTGAGGATTTTTGTTTATAAAAAATCCTTATTTGCCTTAGTTTTAGTCTTAGACTATTCACCCTAGCTAATTTGAGTCTTGTACCAACTCTACTTACCACTGTCTCTGAATTTTTAGTATGGTATTTAGAAGAAAAGAAATAGGGTTTTTATCAAAACCTTCTGAAGTTTGTGCTTATAAATTTTAATTACAGTAATTGATTATGGCAAGTAGTTATTTTCATTCTGTCAGATATCATCATATGTGAGACTTTGTCACTGGGAACTCAATAGGGAGCTCAATATTTGAAATCTGTCTTCCTCCCAACGTGTACGGCATTAAACCCTTTGCTTCATTTCCTTTATCTCTGAAATGGGTAGAATAATGACTCCTTTGCTTATGTTACAGGATATTGTGAAGGTTTTAAAATGAGATAACTGATGGGAAATGTTTTGCAAAGCTGAAAGCACCTACCATTCTGGGGTGCACTGAGTGATCTCAGAATAGAGGGGCTTATTTATACAACATGGGGTTTTCAAAGCAGAAACGTTCATCTTTGATACTACCCACAACACCTGCGGCCGCTAGAGCCAATTAGGTTGCTTGCTACTTCAAAGGGCAGCAGAAAACCGAGGCACACAGGTGTTATAAAAAAGAAGAGAAAATCACCAATCCAGAAACCCACCACGTTGGGGGGGGGGGGAAAGGAGCCAGTATTTCCTGCATCCCTTTCTTGGGCTGATTGGGTAAACCTTAATTTATCCTGTAAATTGTATTGTATTAAAAGATTTTTCAGATAAACTATCCATGTTGTCCTTAAAATATCAATTTGCAAGAAGTTCATTAATTCCACAGAGCAAATTTCAACTCCTTACAGAGGGAAAACCCCAAAGGGTTAAGAACAGATATCTCGTTCTCATTTAATTAAAGCAAAAAAAAAAAAAAGCCTATTTAGAAAAGTGGTCACTCTGTTCACACATGCTATTCTAGCATATCCTTTGAAATGACATCTGTCTCAACTTCCACATTCACAGGTGGAGGAAATTGGGGGTAGAGAGTTCGAAGTTGAATTTCATCTGCGCTGAGCTGAATTAAAGTAGTGCTGGAGGGACAGTGGGGGCTCCCCTTTGCTTGTGTCTCCTATTTAGCACCTGGATAAGCTCAGGTTGCCTTGGTAACCAAGCCCAAACTCTTTCTTAATGTTGAAAAGGGTGATTGATGCTTATTGACTTAGAATAGTTTGGGTGAATTGTGGTTTCTTTCACCAGATAAGTTTCTCATTTTTCTCCTTTATACTGAAGGGATTTGGTAGGAACATATAATAGTGAGCTTTTTATAATACCCTATGTATACACAGATTTGTTTCCCAACATTTTAAGCTCCCTTATATATCACCAGTCCCTTGTGAGCTTTGTCTACTTTGAGGAATATTTTTGCATCTGTGTTAGAGATGCAATTGGCAGTGGCTTTTGAAGCAGGCACTCTATCACGCTATAGTCAGCAACCCAGGGGCACTTTCTGGATGGCCAGATGACCTGGGTAACTCCACCAGCCTTCAACCACTCACTGATACTTGCTCCAACTAACTTCTCTTCATCTCAGTTGTTTTCATCTCTAACATGTTTTAGACTTTAAATAGGTCCCTGGAATATTTATATAAAGACTTCCTTGAAATTTCCATAGAAAAAATTTTACCTCTGTAAATATATTAGCTTAAAGCAATAGTATGGGTTTTTTTAAATTATTATAATAAGAGTGGTTAAAGTGTATTTTCTCCCTTGCTTTTAGCTCTATGAGTACCGTGTCTTATATGGATGAACCAGGCCAACGTGACGAGGTCTCTCGCCTTCCAGTCCAGATGGAGAACACCTACCAGTTGGGTGTGTTACTTAATCACTCATCCCTCTTATAAAATTATAATAACTGATGTTTACTTAAAATGATATCTGATAGCCTGTCATTGTCTTCAATCCTGGCATAAGAACCTTAATTGATTAATTTGACGCTGCCTTAGTTTCTTCCTCTGCAAAATAGGAACATCATTTATTGCCTGCTTTTCTTTACCAGTGTTTCCTAAATACAAAGTAATTCACTGGGAGGCATTGATGTGTGTTTGACATAACTAAATTAAGAATTTCATTAGATATTTCTGGATGGAGTTATTATATACATTTTACACACACACACACACGCACACACACACACGCACACACACACACACACACACACAAGTTAAGTGAAAGATATATGCGTTGATGTTTTTTATCCAACAAAACCAACCAGTACTGTTGATGGGTGGAGGAAAAATCTTCAAGGCAGAAGCAAATAATTTGTGGTCCCCTGTTGACAGAGATGTTTATCTATTACCACAGAGGTTTCAGGTCTTTGAAAACAAAGATCTTTGCACCTGCCCCTATACTCCCAAGTGGAGCCCATAGCAAATATCTTTTCCCATTCATGTTTCTCATAGACCCACTTGTTTTCTCTAAATATGTACCTGCCCACGATTATCTGAATTTATGTGTAATTACTGCTCTATAGAAATTCCACAGAGACTTCCCAAGAGGAAAAAAAAAAAGGCCCCATGAGCCAGGGTAATTCCATCTGTGACCAGTTAACCCCAAGAAAATTATAAACTACCAGCGCATCCTACTAGATCCTGTATGCGGTTTTCGACAGTAATCTCTAAAACTGCATGGATTATAGGGCTTCATCATTAGTCAGTTGACTAGGTTTCCACTAGCTAATATTGCTGCCATCAATACATTTTTATACTCTTTCTGGTGACAATACCCAATTTTCCTTGGGGATGTTCCACAGCCACGACCATTACCACATTTTGTCCACACAATTCTGCTGTGACAACGCTGGCTTCATAGACGGCACAGTAACTGATTCTGGATGGCATGTAACCCTGGTCAATCCAATAAAAACTTCTGAGATGAAATTCAGGAAATATTGTCTGAACTGTTAGAGAAGCAGATAAGGCCATGGAATCCAAAGAAATGTAGGATCTGTGGTATTTTCTACCCTCTTGCCCTCACATAGAACTCCACATGAAACAGAGAGAACAACTGAATCCTGGTGCCATATTTGAATCCTAAATCCAGTTAGCTATCTTAGACTTTTCAGTTTGGTGAGATAAGTTTGGATCAGGATTTTCCCCCACTTATAACGAGAACTTCTTAAGCACTGGGGGCCTATACCCTTGAGCTACACCCACTGAAAAGCTTTGAATCAGATTTCAAAAAGATAAGGCAGTTGAAATGTGAATTCCTGTGTTTCTTCTTTGTGAAGCTACATTTTCACAACGTATTTCTTTAAATAGACAAACTAAATTATCTTATTAGTTTTAGTACTGGGTGTTGGACCAAGTTAGAAAAGTAATTTCAGGAAAAGCTTAGTACAGATAAAATATTTCCATATTTTTTATAAAAGTCTGTGTGAATTATTTATTTATGATGAAAGTCTCTTTATGTTCCACAATCCACTTTTTAATTTTAGCCATTTTAATCAAAACTGTATTTCCACTTCTACTTATTTCTGGGCTTATTTTGCATGAGAAAGGTACTCTGTGAGCCTTTAGTAAAATTTTCTCATATCTACACAATGTAATACTGGCTAGAAGAGTGGGGATGGAAATCAGTCAGCTACCAACTCTATCATGTTTAAATTTTTATTTTAGCCAATGACGTTAGCATCGCCTAAACACATCTTAAGTGTATAGCAGGTTTGTCCTCTCTTTGAACAATTACAGTTACCAAAATTGAGGTGCAACATGAATGTAATTCATGAAAGTAGGAGAGGAAATGGAGAAAGTTGTTTTTTTTTAAAGTAAACATAATTTGCATTTTTTCACTAATTGCTAAACAAGAGTACAGAAGAACACACAGGCTTGGGATCTGATACATCTAAATTTGAATTCTGGTTTTGATAAATTCTAGGCAAATGATATTTGAGTTAAGTGTTTAACATCCTTGAATCTTAAGTTTCTTCATATGTAAATAAGGATGATAGTCTATGAGAATCAAATGAGTTAATCTATTTGAATTGCTTCTCGGTTGGTTTCTATTGCTCCTGAAAGTGTCAGACTCCAGAAACATACCATAATCTCTAAGAATAAAGGCCTCCTGTGATATTCAATGAAGCTTCCTATTGATTATAGATGAAGTGTTCCATGAGACTTTTTCTGGAGTTATGATTAAAGTGGTGCCTGATTCTTTAAAAACGTTGTTTATGAGCATGAGGGCTTTTGTTACACATCTTTGCAGTCACATGAAGACAGCCTGCCTGAGAATGAAGCAGCGAAATAGTGAGAACCTACGTACTGAGAGGAGAGACAAAGATCACTTGAGCTCAGTTTTGGTGCAGTGATCGGGTCCTGTCTCTGGTGTCAGATTTTCTTGGGCAGAACTTGTCAATCTCTCAGTATTGACTCTGTGCCACCCCATGGGTCCTTCCCAACCCTGGGGGCCTTACTATCTTCCTACTTATCTCCTCTCCCATCCTGCTGTCTTCTCAGCAAGGCGCATCCTCTCCCACCGCTTACTTCAGAGGGCCATAACCACAGTCACAGCAAAACACCAATAAAATAAATATCTAATGAGTGTTTCATTATGTGGTACAACTGTTCTAAACATTGTAAATATTTAACTCACTTAATCCTAACGAAAATTAATATGTTGTAATTCTCATTACCCCAGCTTACAATTGGGCCTGGATATATTAAGTGATCTTAACTATAGCTGTCCTCTTTTAAATCTATTTTTAATTTTATTTGGTCATAATTTCTTCACATCTTTGCCTTTAAATTTCTAAAACAGTTGGGGAAAAAGCTACCTAAAAAAAGAAGAAAAGCTAGTCAATTCTGAAAGTGACTTCAGAGAAGCTTAATTTGAAAATCAAACATTGACTCTATCTATCTATTATCTATCTATCTATCCATCTATCTATCTATCTATCTATCTCTATCTCTATCTCTCTATCTCAGCATCCCAACCTAAGCAATGGATGATGCTGGATGTATAGGGAAAGGCCACAATGAAATAAGAAAAGAAATTTTTATTTCTATATTTCAAATTTTTTTTTCAAAATAGAAGCTTATTAATAGAATTGGAAAAAAAACTGAGCAAAGTATGGAAAGAACATTGGAAAGACAATGGGAACTATTGGGAACAGGGACTCAAGTGTCACCCAGATTCTCTTTCTAGTGCTAACCTGTGTGCAGGCTTCCTTTCTACAATGAAAAAATATGTCCTTTGGCAGTTCCTAAGATTCACAAGTCTTCTGCTAAAGGAAGAGGTTGACTCTTTTTTTTTTTTCTAGTTCCAGTTTAAAATAAGAGTGTCTAATTAGAAAGGACTCTAATTGGTCTGTCTCAGGGCAGTGTCACCTGTGAGTCAATCAACCATGCTCAGAACTTGAGCTTATGGAAGGTGAGAGGTAGATCCTAAAGAGCCACATGAGTGGAGAATGAAGAGATCAGTTCCCAGAAAGGAAGATATTGTTCCCAGAAGGAAGAGAGGAGCACTAGGCGAACAAAATACCTGCACTCAAGGAATCTGCCATTTTCTAAAGGAAATCAAGCATATAAGTAGATACAATGCCAGGCAGAACTAAGTTCCATGTGAGTGAAGATGGCCAGGAATATTCAAATGGAAATTTTCTATAAGATCCACAGGAAAGTAACAGAACTGTATGAATTGGAACTAGTTTACAGGGGTACTTACATATGTTGCTCTATCTCTGACCCCAAGCAGCAGGAGCAAGCCATTCACAGATTGATAATCTCATGTCTGTTCCATAGAAGAAAGATGTCTGCTGAATAATGGTTAGTTTTAATAGTGGTTAGTTCTCAGAGTCATCGTATCACATGTGTCGACTTACTTCCCACCACGATTTAAATTGAAGTGAGCAATTTCTATATTATCCAAGTGAAAACACTATTTTTGGATCCTCAGGTGACTAGCCTATGGTCACAAACTACACCCTTCTGTTAAGTTCAGCCTAAGAAACTGCAGCAGGAAGGTAGAAGGGAGGACTGTGTAGCCTGGGAATTCACTTTCCTGGATCCCTGCCCATGGGCTCATCTCAGCCAAAGGAGGCTAGCTGCTCACAAGGGAGCCATCTCCACACAACTGTTCTGGGATTAAGAACTGCCTTCCCGGATTCCTCCAGCCAAGGGTTGGGTGAGAGTAACATCCTCACTTCCACTGGCCATGGAGGACTGCACTATCCCTTAGGATTTCCTCCGACCCCGTCAGACCCTTGATTGAATCATTCTGGATTTTCCTAACTTCAGTTTGCCATGTTTACTTAGACCCTGACAGATACAGGCATTAAACTAAACTTATTAATAGATACTGATGACTACTAAAAGAGAATTGGATATGATTCCCAGTCTCATTCCTTCATCTTTATCAATTCAGCAGTGACTCAGAGTGTAGATGTCAAGCCCTGACACAGTTGCCACGTTATATCATGACATGAGCAGATGACCAGAGAGATCATAAGGCTCACATTCCAGGGATGCAGGATAAAATAGATTCGTTTGAAATAGTGACCTGAATGCGAACTAAATGCGGTCGAAAATATAAATTCTAGTATTAGACAAACCTGTCCATCCCAGCTCTGCCACTGTGTGATTCTAGACAGGTTAATGAAATTAACTTAGACCTGTGTATTGGAGTTAACAAGGGAGATTCAGCTCAGATTATAAACAATTATATAAACAAAAGTAAAGTGCTTATCATGGTGCCTGATACATAGAAAATGACTAGCAAAAAAAAAAGTAGCCATTATTTGTGTGATGATTATTATCTATAAAGTGTTTAATTCTATTTAAATTCAGATATCATACATTAAATATTTATGTGCTTAGCACTGAATTAGACTTTGAAAAGGATAAAATCCAATCTTGCTTACCATTTCACTGGAGAGAAACTCAGATTTGCCTTAGCTATTATCAAGTGGATGATGAGCCAGTATAGCAGCAGGGACCAGTGTGCGGGAATTAGGGAGAGCTGAAGGGATGAATTGCACCTGAGGGGAGGTTCAAGTCTATCTGAAGAAGACATCTGAGCTGGACTTGAAATATGAGTGGATATTTCTCAGATGCACAGATGGGGAGTGGTGCTCCACTTGAAAGTAAGTGCAAGAGAAAAGACACGTGAGCATCCTTTAAAAGACAGGTGGGCCCCAGGAGCTGGAGCAGCATGGGTATGGGGGCTATGGCAGAGAAGCAGAGACCATAGGTTGGTTAGGAGCCAAACCATAGAACTTGTCGAGCGAAATATCACTTCAGAGTCCAGGGTTTCAAGCAATTGTTCTCATTGCCAAGTGGTAGGTAAATTAGAGGATGGAAGAGCTGGGGAGCCAACTGGAAATATGTTGACACTGAAGTTAAGACACCAGCATGGGAACTAGGAAGAAAGATCTGCAAAGTCAAACAGTGTTAATCACACTCTGTACATAGTCTGATGTATTGTCTTCTTTTCTTCCCCCAGAAAAACCTAACTGGACACCTCATTAGGACCTCTTTCTTCCTTATGATATAGAGGCCACCAGACTAGTAAAGGCCTCTCCATGTTTCAGTGTTCTCTGATTAGTCTACGGGCAGGAGGATATGATTTTAAATTACTTCTTACAAAGAACTTCCCATGTGTATTTTCAGGTCCTATCAAACATTTTCCTGTGGTCACTGTTAATCATATCTTGCAAGATGTGTTGACTGACTATCTGCAAAAAGAAGAATATGAACCAGAGTTCTGCAGACAGATAACTAAAACAATTTCAGAGGTACATGTGTGATTTGCCTAAGTGGTTAGCTATAACTACAATATTTGCTGAAAGCACACCACATCTTCTACTTTTAATGAAGGAAATTCACCTTTCAGTAGTAGTTTAAAAATTATGTTTTTTTAAACTGTTTATTATGTCATATGCCATATATGTGTTATATAACAAGCATTTGTCTAAAACAATGTAGTTTTTTCATTTCTTCTAATTAGTTATACATGATATTGGAGTGCATTTTGATTCATTGTATAGAAATGGAGTACAGACTTTCATTTCTCTGGTTGTACTTGATGTAGAGTCACATTCATACAATGGTATATATACTTAGGGTAATGATGTCTGTCTCATTCCACCATCTTTCCCACCACCCCACTACTCCCTCCCCTCTCCTCACTCCCCTTTGCCCAGTCCTAAGTTCCTCCATTATTCTGTTCCCTTTCTCCCCTCATTATGGGTAAAACAATGTATTTTGAACACAAATATATAAAAACTACTCCACTTTAAAAATTTTTATTGTAAAAGATAGTGTTTGGATCATCATTTTCTTTTCACCATAGCAGCTTTTTAAGAGCCATTAAATATAGACAATGGATCCCTAAATCCTTTCTAGTTTTATCAACAAAATTACTACCAATTTAGCATGGTTTCCTCTGCTTTGTGTTTTTAGTGAACTATTTAATAAACCTTTGTGACTGCTCGAGTTACAAGAGATTGCAGAGAATGACTCCTGCTCAGAACTGAAAGACAGTATGACTCTAGTTTAGACTAGCCTAGTGCTAACACTCTTGAAGGGATGCCACCTTAATTTAGGTTTTCAAGAACACAGAATTAATGTGCCCTGAATGAGTTTTTCCATGTGCCTTAGAAAATGTAGATTTATTGCTGATGTTATGATTTTTCCCCTGAACATCCTATCACATGAGGACAGTTCTAAAGGAAATCATAGCTTCAGTTCTACAACCACTATGGAAAGCATCTACAATGGATCACGCTGTTTTTTTTTAAATCCACTATGTTTATAACAAAGGTTGAGATTTCTGAATTTTCATATGTGGCTAAATAAGGAACCCTCTCCTTTTTTTAAATTTCTAGGTTATTAAAGCCCGGGTCAAGGAATTGATGATTCCACGGTACAAACTAATTGTAATGATTCACATTGGACAACTGAATGGTCAGAGCATACTTATTGGAAGCAGATGCCTCTGGGATCCTAAAAGTGATACAGTTTCATCCTATGTTTTCAGAAATTCTTCTCTCTTTGCTCTTGCAAATGTCTACGCAGTTTACTTTGAGTGATTGAAACTGAGAAATGTTGATTTTTCTTTTCAAATCATGAAATGGGCTGTATCTATGCACACACAAAGTGTTACTGTCAAAAATTTTAAGCCTAATACTTCAAACAACTGGAAGCTTTTGTAAGGATCAGGGTCAGGGAGGGTGTACGAGAGAGTCTTGTTTATCCACAGCAGGAACTAAGTCTTGGTTCTGTTGGATTGTTTTTCATAAACATAGCTTCTTATTAAATAAAACTTTGGGTAGTAATTATTTTATTTATCCTTTAGCTAGAAAGTTAGAATTTCCTGCAGTCCTTTTTGATGAAGAGAAATTTTGGCAATATATGACTATGTATCCTGGCCAACAGAAGATAGTGGAATAGTCAGCATGGTATACACAAATGATAAATGTTAATATGCCTCAGTGCTGCATATAAAGGAATACTGGTTTTCATTTTGCACTTAATAAATTGAGCAGCATTCATTAACTGCAATTATTGTTACATGTACCTGACAGTTGAAACTGCTGAGGTAGAATTAATGACTTCATAACAATTACCATGGTCCCATAGGGCCTCAAGCTAAAAGTAGAAGCTCTTGTGGGCTGCCTGCACTTTACAAAATTGTGGAAGGACCGTACACTGGCTCTTCGATAATGGAAACTATAACTGAACAAAGGCTTTTTAGGACACTGATGTAGACATTATATTAAATATACATGATGCTTAATAGTAAATGTATCTGTAACACATAAAATCACGTATTAGAAAGAGACACTACTTTTAAATATACACTGCCTGATGTGTCTCTGAATAGGTTCGCCCCCACTAATGAAATTTTACACAAAATGTATAGCTGGCAGCTTAACAAATAAAACATGTATACTTACCATTTTGTTCCTCTGAATTTAATACCAAAGTGACCCAGTGTGGTTTTGAATGGATGGGCATTAAAATTTACAGGGCTGAAATAGCTTATTATTCTGCTGGTTAATGTATCTTATACCATGGATCATTTATTTTTATGGAGCTTTCAGGCCTTTGTGTGCATGTAAAACGATGCTGTGTTGTTCCTGGATGGTAAGTCGACTGCCTAGAGGACAGTTGTTAAAGGTCAAAGACAAATCTTTCACATATGGAGAAAATTAGCAATGTTATAGTCCCAAGGAAAAAATGATGTGTAATTCATATCAAAAAGAAGTTAACAAATGGAAAAACCAGTCATTGCTTTCTACTTTTAAATGTTTGGGTGTCTTTACTTTTCCCTAAAATGTAGTAAAAAATGCCTGCCTTTTAAATCCCTTTCCTTCTCCTTTTTCTGGCTTACCAAATGACTTTTCAAAGTGAATTTGTCAATTTTCAGGGTTGTTTTAAAAAAAAATTTTTAGTTGTTGATGGACCTTTGTTTTATTCATTTATTTATATGTGGTGCTGAGAATTGAACCCAGTGCCTCACACATGCTAGGCAAGCGCTTTACCACTGAGCCACAACCCTAGCCCCAATTTTCAGTTTTTTTCTGTTAGTGCTTTCATGGGAATATGTGTGTGTGTTAATCTATCACAACCAATATTTGTCCCGTCTCCACAGGTCGATTTTGGATCTGGATTACATTATAAATCTTGTAACTAGATGAGCTTTGTGTTTTCATTACACGTTTGTGAACAACTTTCTTCTTGGACCAATGGCAGATTCAATCTCACGACAATTTTGCATGAATAAAGCAGAATGAAGAAACATTTGTAGTAGATAGAAAGCCAATTGTAAAAATGTTTTAAAAAGTATTTTTTTTCAGAGTGCTAAATTCTATTCCATGAAATAATTTATCAGCATTTATCCTAAATTTTAGCGGGCATCAAAACCTTAAAACATGGTAACAGGTAAAAAAAAAAAACAAAAGAAGCAGTTCCTCATCACATTGCCATGTACTACTGTAATTCAGATGAATTCAGAGATGAATTCCAGCAATTATATAGCAGTAGAAGAATATACAGTAAAAACCAACTTCTTGTGACTAATTTAGGAGAGTGCCAGTGACCACACAAAGCCTTGGGGTAAGAAATTTTTAAGGAAATGACACTGTAAATTTGCAGGAGTTATTTTACTCTAAAAAAAATGCTTAACATCCCTGGCATTTCCCTAGGCTTCCTATGTGCCATTCTTCTTCCTGGACCAGCTGTGTCCCTCCTCACCTCAGAACATTCGCTTATGCTCTTCTCATCTCAGAACACGCCTCCCCATTCCCTGTCAGCCCCTTTCTTCACTTTTCTGAGTCAGCCTCAGGTCTCTCCTTCTCTCCAAGTCCTTCTCCCCCTGTCGCATCCTCCTGCTCTCTCTTCTCTGATGACTCTCATAGTTGAACTCCTGCTGGTTCCTCAGTTAATTTTTTGAATATTAGTTTTGTTTCCCCATACTAGGTCAAAATAATGGAGGACATGGACCACATATCCTGACAACACCTTACAAATAAAATCTAATTCATCCTTACCCTTAAGTACGTGGCCCAGAGTTGCCCAACTCCAAGCTTCACAGAAAACAGCAAAGCACAGTCCAATCTTTGAAGAACGAGATTGAATCCCATCAGAATAACAGATGGAAGGAGACCCTCATTGTTATACAAAATACATATATGATGATGTGAGGAGGAAGAAAAAAAGAGAGAGAAATGTGTCACATTAGATTGGGTAGAGAGAGGTGATGGGAGGGGAGTGGAAGGAGGGAGGGGGGATAGGAAGCGCAGCAGAATAAAATAGACACTAGTATTGCTGTATGTATGTAGGTGGCCGTATAACCAATGTGATTCTGCAACCTGTACACTTGGAAAAATGAGAATTCATACCCCATTCGAATCAAAGTGTATGATATGTCAAGATCATTGTATTATCAGGAGGAACTAATTTTTTAAAAAAAAAGAATAACAGAAGTACACAGGTGACCACAATATAGGGCAGAATTTGTAGTCACAGGAAAAGTTCAGGCTGCTTTTGTCTGATTAGAGGATTTATGGACAGCTTCATGAAGGGAAGTAACAACTTCATCTAGACTATGAAGCGGGTAAGTAGAAGTCCAACAGACACAGGAGTACAGCAAGGAGTATAAACTGGATCAAACACAGCATTTGTGAAGGTAAGTTGGTTAGAAGGTGGTAAGACTGGAAGGTGACTGGGTAAGGCAGTGACCCTCAGACCAAGGGGAATCATCAAAGGCTTTTCAGTAGAACAGTGTAGGTGAAGCAACTGGGAGCAGATGGTGGAAAAGAGCAGGAAAAAAAGAACATGCAGGAGAGATGAGAGGTGATGAAAATCTGACCCAGGCAATGGCATTGAAAACAGGAGACAGCCGTTGTGTGCGACCTTACATGGACAACGTCTAAAGCACTCCAGCCTAGAGAGATGGCCTAAGGTTTCAAGCTGTTGGTGTTTGCAGACTTCAGACCAAATCCTGCCATTCCAGGCACTTTTTAAGTAAAATTAAATAAATCACTGATCTCACCAAGCTGCAACTTCCCTGTAGTAAAGTAATACTAATGTTGGTGCCTACCACACAGGATTTTGGAAGATGAAATTCATATTTGCTAAATTTAACAGCATAATTCCTGATAGATAGCCCCTGATGAATAGTAGCTCTTGTGATTGAAAGTTTAAATCTAAGTAATTAGAATTATGATTCTGTTAGCAAAAATAGGGATATCAACAGAAAGGGTTTGAGAAACAAAATACCAAGTTTTATTTGGCACTGGGAGTTTCAGTTAATAGTGGAACATTAGATAGAGACAGCCTCGGGCAACAGAAACAGCAAGACTGGAGCTGAGAAGCCACATCAAGGTAAGAGGTTTAGGACTTGGCAGTCATCCAAATGGAGACTTAGCATCTTCCTCCTGCTTTATAAAATATTCATTAGCCAAATCTTCAGCAAGCATAGTCAGTACTAATAGCAAATTACTGAAAAAATTCAGTTAGCTCTGGGAATATCAACCAGAAACACTCCCCCCAAACCAGCAGGGAATTTACTTTTCCCCACAAAACCAAAATTAAGTGATGCCTTCCTTTATTTCTTGATAAGAAAAAAAAATCCTACATGATCCCTTTGGGTTGTCAGACATCAAAAGAAATGTAGTTTCTTTAAAAAGAAATGTTAGCTTCTCCAATGAAAGTATCGATGCTGTCATCTGCTGTCATTAACAGAATGACTTTAAAGAAAACACATAATGGGAGGCCCTATGACCAAGTCCAACAGATTATGTGCCCAAAAGTCAAGGCTAGTTTAGTTCACTCACTTTCTAAATTCTTGGGAATTATTCTGTACATGGGAATGATTTTTAAAAACAACAGTTGAAAAATTAGAGCTTAACCCTCTTAGAGAATGAACATTTCCTTGCTGAGACCATCATGTAACCTATCCTTCTAGATAATGCCAAAAATGCATCAAGAAAACTCAACCTTACATAGTTACTGATAGTTTGCTGTGCCTTTTTTTAATATTTATTTTTTAGTTGTAGTTGGACACATTACCTTTACTTTATTTATTTATTTTTATGTGGTGCTGAGGATCAAACCCAGGGCCTCACACATGCTAGACGTGTGCTCTACCCCAGCCACAACCCCAGCCCCTGCTACGCCTCTTTACTGCCAGCATTTTATACAGGCGTGGCCTGCGCCCACCATCTCTGGTTTTCTCTGTTGTTCTCCTCGTCTGATACTTTCACCTTCTGCAATCTGGTTCTCATTTCATCAATGCGTTGCTTTCACAAACAGTCAAAGTATTCCCACAGGCCAAATGTGCAAAACATCCTCCTGCTGCGTTCCACCTCAGCTATCTTCCGAACTCATTTCTTTTGAGTAGCCATGTAATATAGGTGTTTGGGGGATTTTGTTTTTGTTTAAAAGCATAGGTTTGAAAATAAACATCTCCTTTTGCTGCCAATCTTTATTAGCTGTATGCCTTTGGGAAGTGGCTAGTTCTCTGTGCCTATTCCCTCAACGGTAAAAATGAATGTAATTGTGGTCACCACTTAGGTTCTTTTCATGAAGA